GGGGGGGGGGGGTAGGTCGCCGAAATAATTTTTCCGGAAAAATGTTTTAGGTATTAGTCGGGCACAATCCCGAAAAGTCGGGCAAATTTCTTTCCGCCCCCCTAATTTTTTCCTTCCGGTACGCCCATGACAGTGTACCTGCAGGAGCAGTTGCGAAAACTGGAACTATCGACTCTCTGGCAGGAATCGAACCTGCAGCCCAACTTGCGGTTACCGCAAGTTCATGTATAATTACTATTAAGGTGATGCCAATGTACGGTGTATGGGTAGATATCAGAATTTTGACCAATAGTTGCGTTTTTCACAACTGCTCCTAGCTAGATCTATTAAAGATGCGGTACAGTCCGTATGTACAGGGGCGTAGGAAGCTTCTAAAAGTTGGGGGGGGGGGCAGGATTTGAGGGGCACTCACGGGGGGGAGGTCTCAAAAATTTTTTCCGGACATACCAAAAAAAATTTTCAGGATATATCCAAATTTTCTAAATATGAAAAAAATTTTCAGGAAATACCAAAATACCAAAAATTTTTTCGGACATATCGTATTTTTCCCGAAAATGAAAAAAATTTTCCGGAAAATAACATAAATTTCAGTTTTGAAAAGTGCACTTTGAGCAAAAAAAGGCAATATCCTTACTAAAAACATTTTTCACGCAAGAAAAGGGCACTTTGCTCCCAGAAAAAGGGCACTTGACAAAACTTGGAGGGAGCCTGCCCCCCTGCCCCCCTGCCCCCCGTTCCTACGCCCCTGCGTATGTAAACAAAGGCTTTGTTTACATTTCGGTATCCAAAATATTGAATTTTATTCGACAATATTTGTATTTTCATGATTCTAGAGTATAATAAATTAAGAAGAGACAGCCATCAAGCTTTGCAAGAACATAAAATGAAATAAAAACCAAAATAAACTGTTTGTAAATAAAAAGAGGGCTCCTTTGTGCACATGCGCAGATCGGACTGTACCGCATCTTTAATACATGTATAAAGATCCCACTCAATATTGTAGTCAAATATTTGACACGCCTTCTCTCCTGAAAGTTTCTGAAAACAAACATTTTTCTGCACGATTATATAGTTTAGTGACTGAATTTAACATTCCATCAACAAATTCCTTCAGTATTTAGTCGAGCGAGATGCCAAAAATCCTGTATATCCACACATAAGGCTAGCAGGGAATTCACTCAGGTTCCAAAAGTGACTGGGAAATGAGATCGTTAGAGAAAATGTGAGCTGAAAAATGAGATCTAGAAACTCCCGCCGCTTCAAGACCCTCACCATTGAAATTGGTATACAGATTTTTGTTTGGAAAAGTGGAAAAAATATGTTAAATTCAGTCATGAACTAATCGTGGAGAAAAATGTTTGTTTTCGGAAACTTTCAGGACAGAAGGCGTGTCAAATATTTGACTACAATATTCAAGCTATTAGCAATGCATTTCTGCAGTTCTGGTTGCGTGCTACAGGCGCGACGTCATTGCTTGTATATAGGATCTTAAATGATTTCACGATTGTAGCTAGTAGCAAGGCATATTTTAAGGAATTTACAGTGGTGGGCCAAAATTTACGGTAGGGCCCCCGCGTCCCACCCCCTGCTGGTCCATCTCTGAGTATTGAATATTTGTAACGCTTCCTGAACTTATTGAGTATTACAGTGTCACATTCAACACATATTTCTGAAATTGAAAGTTTATAGACTAACGTTTTAATAGCTTGTTTAAGGTAAATAATTTTATATTCTTGATGCTAAAATGTAAAGACTGAAGCTGCGGGGGCCCACACAGTGGTGGGCCAATACCCTGTGTGTGGTGGGCCACTTGAGGGGCCTGGTGGGCCAAATGGCCCACCAGTCTATTACTTAAAATATGCCTTGGCTAGTAGTCTATATAGTTGCAGTGTGGTGAAAAACTCCTTAATTTAATATTCATGAAGGTTTAATTAAAGTCTTTGATCTATATTCAATAATGCAATATATCATTTGTTATCTTATTATATTGCCAACATTAGACGCAAAATTAATATTTTTAGTCGTCTCCATAGGATCTGTAATATCGTTATTCATTAAGTCTGCTAGTAGTTCCTCCAAGCTTTTTATACTACTATTACTCGAGACAGAATATTTTGGCGAGCTTGCTGCTCTCGAACGATAACCGTTCGATTCATCCAAGCTCACCTCCGCGATCTGTTCACAATTGTCTACGGTCGTTTCACGATTGTTTTCCGTACTTTTCCGATTGTCTGCGGTTGTTCCTGGATTGCCAGCCGTCCTTTCACGATCGTCTGTCAGTCTCTCACTGCAGTCTGATTTTATCGCATTAGAGTTCGTCAGACTCTGATCGAGAGTTCCAAGAAGGGGTGGTTTACTACAAGGTTCACACGAGGTAACCACTGTTAGGTCACACCCTTCTGTTTCGTATGGTATAGATAGAAATTGGTAACCACCTTTACGCCCTCTCACCTAGAAATAAAACATTGACAAGAATCAATGCAATGTAATGAGGATTACTATTGCGAGCTGTTTATATTATCAGAGACAAACTTTCGTAGCTTGGTGATTCTGTGAATATTGGAAATTCAAGAAAATATACTAAGGGATATTTCAAGTCATTTCTTTTTTGCGCATAAAAGGTCGGCAAAGTTTGTGATTTATTTGTAGAATAGAAACAAAAACAATATTAGGTACATATAATTACGAAAATTTTAAACATAATTTTCAGCCTTATTTTATTAAATAAAGTTTAACCATCTATATATCTACTTTTTACAAATATTAAAGTCATGCAAAGTGAAGCAAATTACAATCACACGAAGATGATTGGTTGCTCAACAAATAGTTATTGCTTCTCCCCGCTATCATAAAAAAACCATAACCCATTGTAGAACACATAGTGTACTCGGCCATCTGCATGGTCAAAAGGATCTGAAATCTTTGAAACAAGTTTTTGAGAAATACTACTTAGCGACGATATTTTCCAACAGACCTCGCGAAATATTTCGAGTATCGAATTTCAGCGAATTACCCGTGCTCCTGGTCTTAAAAAAAAATGTTACCTTTTTTAGTATTCCTCTGTTGTAATAATTCCTCATCGCTCTGAACAGTTTGTACTTGTCCATGTTCGGTTTATTTTTAACAGTTCCCCATAGCTTGGCGAGTTCATTGGCGTTTTTTAATATGAATATTCCTTCAAGTTTGTTGGTCCAAGATATAACAGAGGCACATTCATCGTCTTCCAGTAAACCAAAGAGAAATTCCCAAAGATAAACTGACGTTCTTGTACTAGGCCGCGAGTACTTGCTTCTTTTTGTAGAGAGTCGTCCTGTATGTATATGAACAGGCATTGTCATTGTCATTATCTCAAGAAAAGACAATAAACTATGGAAATTATCTTTTTAAATTTTTTTTCAGAAAACTAATAACAAAACATGATTGTTCATATCAGATAGGTATTTAGTATTTCTATAGGACTGGTGCTAGAAAATTTATTTAGAAGAAAAGTTGTAATAGTGCATAGGAACACGGTTATTGTGTAAGTTTAATTCCTTTGTGTAGGGATGGGATGGTTTTCTATTGTGTGGTATGGGTTGGAATGATAAGGGAGCATTCATTTTTTAGCTGGGGGGGGGGCCGGAGGAACTGATGTCTAATTCCATGCGAAAACTTGGAACCCCCAAGACAAAAGTTGATAAAAAATTATGACCCCCTACTTTTTTTACTGAAAATTTTTTGACCCCTCATCCTAACTATTAATCCACACGGTGTCATTTCCATAGCGTTTCAGGGCCGTGGGAAGCTCTTTTTTATTGGGGGCTGAAAGCAAGGGCCAAAGGCCCGAGGAAATTTTTAAATCTAGAGACTCTGAAATGCCATTTCCTGGCCTTTGGGGGAAGATTTGAATTTGGGATCAGATGAATTTTGCTACTTTGTTATAGATGACGAGAGAGATTCTTGATCCAAATATTTCCAAATTCAATAAAATCATATTGGTGATTTTTTCACTGATTATTTTTATGACCCCCTCCATTTATACCAAAACTATAAAAAGACCCACCCCTTTGAAGCATGTCAAAATTGGCTGACCCACCCCCAAATTCCTCCGGCCCACCCCCCCAGCTAAAAAATGAATGCTCCCTAAGGGATAGAAGATATGGATATGGTATTCAGATGATATGATGTGCTATGAAATGGAATGCTATACCATGATATAACATGATATAACATCATATGGTCATGAGTTGGAATAGTAAAGTGTGATTTGGTGTGGTATAAACTTGTGTTATTTTATTGTCACTATTGTGTGCTATTGGATGGGATGAGATTGTGCAATATTAACCTGCGATCCTTAACAAAAGTCCATACCGTACAACCGTATTTCGGTTGTAAATCTGATTGGTCTATGAGACAAAATATTTTTTACTCTGTCATTGGTTGGTGCTAATTAGATTATACTATTGTTGTTGTATATTTTATAGTGATCACACCATAATTAGATTGTTGTTGTTCGGGCGTTGTGTGAAATTTAAATTTCTCCTGCGACATTTTGATTGGATACTATATATAAACTTTGTTGTGGATGGAAAGCTATCGGATTAAGGTTTGTGTCCGGCTATTATTTTTAAAATAGAGCCCGATCTCAGGTTAGTGCGGTATATACAGTATGGTGTGATATGACTATGAGTTGGAATGGAAAGGGATGGTATATAGTATGCTACGGTACTCTATGGGGTATGATGTGCTATGGGATGGAATTGTAAGGGATGGTATGGTCTGGTATGGTATATTCTGTGCTGTGATATGAGTTGGTATGGTAACGAGTTGTGTATTATGGTTTGCTATGGTATGTTACGGGTGTTATGTGCTATCGGATGGAATGCTACGGAATTATGTGGTATATGTATTCTTTATATTTTGTCTCATTAAATTTAATAATTTATATACAATCGGACCATTATTAAGCGGACACTCCTCTTAAACAGGCGCATACCTCCAGTCCCAATTATTTCTTTAACAAAATACTACTATCATTACTCCTATTAGCCATTCCGAAGTTGATGAGTGAACTGGGGACGAGTGTTAAAAAGTGCCCAAATTAAGAAATGAACTAAATCACTAAAAAGACCACCTCGAAATTAGTAAGTATACAAAGTTTGAAGACGTTTACATGAATGAATACCCTTCGAATAATAAGCTTTCGAAAATTATGAAATTACTGATTAAAAAATTGTTTTTGGGACGCGCATCCCAAAAACAAAAATTGCAATACATTTCATAGTAAATATCGGATTTTTGAAACATGCAAAGTGCAACTTAAACGTAAATAATGAGTACACAAGTAAATTATCAGAACATAAATGGGATGACTTTTATGGAATATGTGACTCATAAATAACTGCTCTTCAGTTACTTACTCAATATTTTAAGAACCCTCTCAAAATACCATCCACACCCAAATTAAGTCTGGGACAACGAATTTATAGGTTGCTTTAATCAACTTTTTACAGTGAAATTTGAAAGACACTAATGTTATAGATACTAAACATGGTATAAATGCAAAAGAGTCTGAATGTTTTCAAATTCATCTATGAATTATTCTCAGATTATGTTGGGCAATAGTATTATGCTATTAGGCTCTCAGGAAGGAAATCATAGTAAAAATGTGAATGGTTTTTGCATCGTATGTTAGCTAGAAGTGCAGTGTATTGTGCATGCATGGAATGGTTTTCAATGGAAAGACATAACTATTAATAAATTGCTCTTTTAAGAATTTGTCAGTAGAGGGCCATATCAAGGGAAAGGACCTAACTGGAGAGTGGTGAAATGGAAAAGTGGGATATGATCTGGTAGGGAATCTAGATATTTTTAATTTTTAACCACTGGGGTTGGTTTTCAGCATTTCATGAGATGGGAGTAACACAGTTCAGTGGAGGGGCTAACATTGGGGCGGAGGGAATAATGACTTGCTCCCCCCCCCCCCCCCGTCATAAAGGAGGTCCTGACGTTTTCCCATGAAATATGTCCATGAAAATGTTATATACAGTATCAAAAAATGCTTGCCTGATTGCTGACTCAGTGTTTTACTTTAAGACAATCAAGTTTTTAATGAAATCAAACTATAGGCATAGTTGCACAGTCTCCCACTGAGAAAAAATAATAAAATCCAAACTATGGAATTTGCAATTGCATCACTAAATCCACAATATATCCATACTATATCCATATATATATATATATATATATATATATATATATATATATATATATATATATATATGAAATCAAACTATAGGCATAGTTGCACAGTCTCCCACTGAGAAAAAATAATAAAATCCAAACTATGGAATTTGCAATTGCATCACTAAATCCACAATATATCCATACTATATCCATATATATATATATATATATATATATATATATATATATATATATATATATATATAGTATGAAAATTGCAGTTAGTATATGAAAATTGGATTTCCTTATTATTCCCAGGCAAGATCCATACTATTTCCAGTGTAGCTGCATAGAAGTAATGCAAAGAAAATAGTAAACACTGCATGTCTGATCAGTGCATGATGTATCAAAAAATTTTATGCGGACAGCAATGGAATAAATCAATGTTGTTCATGTCCAATAGCAATGTTTCGTGGGGTGCTTTTAACTGATCTGTAAAGAATGGTCCGTAGACACGAACATGTTTCTGATCAATATCACTACTCACAACCATGGTAAATTTTAGACGTAAATTGTACATATGCAAGACACAGAATGATCGATTTTTAGGAGATTGTCAAATCCATGGTCACGTATTTCCAAGTCTGCTCATGCAAATCTATAAATGTAATCAGCTACTGATAATATATTATTCCATCTTATATTTATTGTATAAAATAATTGGATACTATAAAATCATATGCACTGCACATGTATATTAGTAAGTATTTGCATGGGCACTTGTAATTGTTGTAAGTAGTTATAGTATTATAGTTGGACATATACTAACTTTAAGATCTCGACCGAGGGCAATGTTGCATAAAATTCGGAGGATGCATTTCTGATAAACCTGATCCATCCATGCAAGCACACTTGAATATGAACTTTGCGTTGTATTTTAGGCATCATGCACAAGCACGTATGAAGCATTAAGCGTATATAATTTGAAGGTTTACTATTTCTTGGTTGAGTAAATCAGTTAATTATTATTTTATGCATACTATCGAGGGTATAGTCGAGGTAAATTAATGCTAAGCCCAGCACTTATATGTGAATGTACATTTGTCCATCTGATACGACAACATATATATGTTACCGGCGTATACGGTATACAACTTCAGTTAGAAGGAATCGTAGAGTGTTGATCAGTCCCTATAAGTGCATGGGAAAAGGTGTCCAACAGCACCAGATAGTAGGGTGTGATTTATATGATATATGTACATGTAGTCTTTTCGTGAATTACGTATATGACACTACATAGTGGAAGATAAACGAAGTTACTATATGAACTCACTTTCAAACAAAAAGAATAGTTCAACTCACCCTCAGCCATATTAAAGTATAGATTGTTTTCCTTCTTGGCCCCAAACAGTGTGACCTATGGTGCTATCAAACGTATACTGAATCAGCCCTCGGCGATTGCTAGATTTTAATGAATGCCTAAACTTAATATACCATGCTTAAATACGCCTACGCGTTAATTAATCAATATTCACATACGTCACAAAACTACAGTACGCAAGCACGGCATGGGACAAAATCCACCCATTTTCTGTCGCTGTTTCAAATTTCCTACTGACTGAGTTCTATTCGTTTTAACACAAGATGACTTGCATTTCATCGAAATTTGATAATTTGGCTCTTGAGATCAGTATGCCCATATCTGCATAAAGTTCATTGCTTCCTATTCTGTCAAAATTATTTAATACCGGAAAAACGTGTAACAATTCGCAAGATAAAGAATGACTTTTTCCTGCATTCCAAGCCTTGCCGTGATCATTCCCAGGAAAATTACACTAATAATTGCACATTGGAATGAATTCATTCACGCTTGCTTTTGTATCGTTTTAGAAGATGCCCTGCATTTGTCCCTCGCACTTTGCCGGCGGAAGTGTAATTAGCTCGTGATTTTAATATTCTACACCAAGTTTCAGTGAATTTTACCGATTCCTTCTTTTAGTTGTTTGTAAGCATTCTTACAACCACTCAGTTAATTTTACGATTTAAACTGTATGTCAGATGTAGGAAGTGATACAGTGGTTTACATCAAATTGCTATAAGTCTTTGGCTATTATTATATAATCTCCTCACGAAAGGCCTTGCATCAAAATGTGTAGCCAAAAGGCTACCTTTA